TCGGTGATGGCTAGAAGTATTCAGATGTTAATGTACGTTGGCCCAGTGGACTTTTTTTGGTAAAGCAAAAGTGAAGGTTTTTTCATCCCCGTTACGTAGAAATATATTCTGAACCGTAGAACTGCCTGCTTTAGCTACCTTTATAAATGCAATATGGTTGACAGGTTCACCTGCCTGAATGTATTGGGTCTGACTTGAGGTGACAACTTTTCTATACAAAGTCCATATCGTTTCTTCGGTATATGCTGTGGAGGTGATGTAGCGTACTGCGCTGTGCAAAGTCACCAACACACATAATCCCAGCAGCAAGGACCTGCAAGACATACAATGTTCCATCACATGTTACATCATCTATATCATTAAAGTAAGTGTAGTTTGTAGGAATATTCGACTGGGTATCAATGTCAACAAAATAGCCATATCATTGTAAAAAATGTCTGAAAGCGTTAGTTCTTATCCTGTTTTGAAAACGAAATATGGACCATCGGTTCTGATACTATAGGACTATATTCACATAAATAGTTTGAGGGGAACATACCAAGTTCCTTGTCTCGGGAAACCAGAGAGTATTCAGATCCCTCAAGCTCATAATTAACTGTATGACATAACTTATTCACTAGTGATAATGTGAACGAAAAATAAAATGAAATAAATAAATACGCCCTAATAATTTCAGATAATTCAGGTTAGTAATCTCACGATCTCAAATATAAAAGTATTCATGTCAATATTAAATTTCCTCGGACAAATTAATATACCAACGTTATGTAGTTCCATCGAATTAAACGACGATTGTTTGTGTCGGGACGATTAATCTGCTATCTACAAAAATGGTCAACGTAACGTAAATTTCGTGCACAGATTATTAGTATTTCATAATTCAGGATTGTTGCATTTTTATTATTAAACAATAGAATATACGAGAAAGTGTATCTTCTGTAATTGTTTTAATGCCAGACCATTAATATCCTTATCTGTAGTTTTTATTTCCTGTGAGCCCAGCTCGACAGAAACCATGAAATCTAGCGTACTGTTTCGATCATATCAAATTTTCTTACAAAATTGCAAGTGGATTTTTTCAATTATGCTTACATTTTCAAATCCCCAGATTTCACAGACATTTAGTAAAATAGGGAAGACAAGCGAGTTAAGCGACTTAAGTTGCAGATCCACTAATAATGGAATCTTCCTAATTTCCATGCGAGCAGTGCTTTATTTGCCTGGTCAGCTGATTGTGTCTTTGTTTTGACTTATGATCCATTATAGTTGTACAATATACCGAGTTAAGGGTAAGAATCCTCACGAGGATAATTAAATGTGTTAAAATAGAATTGTCTTCTATTTTTACGTTTATCAAAAATAAAATGTTTTGTCTTTTTGGTATTGACACTTTATTTTTATTCTTAGTAATTAAAAAAACGGTCAAGAGCTTTCTGTAAACCTTTCGACATCAATACAGTTTTATCTGCATGTGAAATAACAAATACTTTCACATATATCACAGTTATATTCAAATATACTATCTATTTCTTGCAAGCACGATACATTATTATGTTCAATATACTCTTCTTAATCTGAATAGTGATAAATATTCACTATATGTTAAACCAACAATACGCCTAAAAATGTCAAATATATGATTTCCATTACGAACGCAAGGTTTTGTATTTTCATATGAATGTGTATAACCGTTTTCCTGAAAGTGAAAGAGTTGCATTTTCCCCATGATCCAGCTCGCTACACCGTATTTGTTTTTAAATCGATGAACGTACAAATATAACTTTTTGCATTTTTAAAAGTAAATAGAGGTCCGAATATGCAAAACAAAATATTCTATAAATAAACATTAAAAACAAAAAAACAAAAAAACAATTGCGAAACAAGTTTTTTCCAATCGCTCTTGTTTGCCCGAATAGAAGCGTGCAGGAGGTCTTAATTTTGGAGGAAACCGGAGTACACGGAGAAAACCCACGTGGTCGGGCAGGTGACCCATTTTTACGTCCGTTCCGGGAATAGAATCCTTGACGTCTGGGTGAAAGACGAGTACGTTACCATTGCGCCACCTGACTTCCTATATAAAGATATTTTCAGTGGTAGAATACCCCTTTCTAAAACCAGATTGTATATGTGATTTGAGGTTGACTTCATGAGGAAACTTAGCCAGTCTGTTGTTTATAATAGATATAAATAACTTACTGAGGCATGATGATAGGGTAATTGCTCTAGAATTATCAAGATCGTGTTTATCATCTTTATCTATATGCTTTGCTTAGACGTTTCAGCGATAGACTAAACAACACGTTTCTTCTCAGCTCCATGTTTGTTTTTTATTTCCAGAACGAGGCTGTCCTATAACCAATACAGGAGAGGATCTAAGAGAGATAACTCTTACGAGATTACAACTACTATAGATCATTACAACTCCCCTTTTGAAAATAGGTATTTTATCTTTAAAAGTTCAATTGTCATTGGTGGGAGCATGTGATATATATGTAACTTGTATTTTATGGTTAATTGACCATACTGAAACAAAATAGCTCGAAATTAAACTGCATGTTGATACATGTCTTGAGACTTAATATTTCTTTGTTGTTTATAATATTGTCACAGTTTCTAAGTAATAGTGTATATCCAACCCTCTTGATTGAGAATTATATATGGAACACAAGCAACAAATAAAATGTGATAATTTTGCAATTATGAGTGACCAAATTCACCAGAAGATAATGGACCAAAAATAGTTTTGATTTTGAACTCTTTACTGATGAATTTTATCAAGCATAACTACCAGGATCAGGATAGACTGTCCTGCCTGAGACCTAACATTAAAAAGGGGATTATTCTGCCCCTGTGCACTTCACATCTCATAATCTTTGAATCGTGCTGGCAGTTTCACACTTCTGCCGTATTTTGTCTTCATACTCGGAGAGTTTCCGGTGGGCATTGCTAGTGCTGTCGCCTTATGCGTTGGCGTGTCACTAGGTTTCGTAGTTGATTCTTGCTCCATGAAATCAGGAATGTCCTCTGTGTTTCTCCTGAATGTTTCCTCTCGTGACTGAATGATGTCTCGACGATTTCGACGAAACTTCTCACCATCAGGTGTCACTACTGTGTAGGACCTCGGGTATTTAGAGTGATTATAAATGTTTCCTGGAGTCCATTGTCCTCTGTGTTTAAAACGAATTTTATCTCCGTCATTTAATTCCGACAGGCGTTTGGCTCCAATATCGAAATATTTTTTCTGCTTTTGCTGCGATTTCTGTCTGGTTTTCTGAACGTGTTCTGAAGACACTACACGTGGTTGAAGTTTAAGTTGGGTAACTGGTAGCACAGATCTAAGCTCTCTGCTCATGAGTAGTTGTGCTGGTGATTCTGTATCCGTAGGCGAGTTCCTGTACTCGAGTAGAGCAAGATACGGATCTTGCCCGTTAGCGTTGGTTTTCTCAAGGATGCGTTTCATGGTTTGTACAGATTTCTCTGCTAAGCCGTTCGCCTGAGCAAAATAGGGACTTGATGTTGTGTGTTTAAACTTCCACTTTGTCGCAAATGTTTTGAATTCGGATGAGGAATATTGTGGACCATTGTCGCTCCTCACTTCAAACGGTATTCCATGTCGTGCAAAGATAGATTTCAGGTGTGTTATTACTGTTACACTTTTAGTGTTCTCCAACTTTGCTACCTCAAAGTATCGGGAATAGTAATCAGTGACTATCAGGAAGTCTGACTGGTTCCATGAGAATAAGTCGGTTCCCACAACTTGCCACGGTCCACTTGGTACAGGTGTTGGCTTCAAAGGTTCTTTCTGATTGTTGTTCCTCATATCCATACAGGTACTACACCTTGATATCATGTCAGCAATATCAGTGTTCATGCCATGCCAATAAACAATACTTCTGGCTCTGAGTTTGGTTTTTTCTATACCAAAGTGACCTACATGAAGATCTGACAGTATTTCATCTTGGAGACTTTCCGGAATTACTATCCTTTCTCCTTTGAGCACTATGCCTTCGTTGATAGTTAGTTCATTTCTAAGTTTCCAAAACTCTTGTAGGTTTTTTGTTAGAACATTTTTATTTTCTGGCCAGCCATTCTCTATCAATGCCTTAACTTGACTGAGTTGTTCATCCTCGTCTGTTCGAGTGCGAATTTGATCCATTTTATTGACAGAGACAGGTAGACTGTTCAAAACAGTGTGTACATGACAATTGAGTTCTTCATCCATATTCCCATCCTTGTTGGGAAGATATGCACGAGAAAGTGTGTCCGCTACTACTAATTCCTTGCCTGGCCTGTAGATTAGAGTGAATTCATAGCGTTGTAGACGTAGAAGCATTCTCTGTAACCTAGGTGGCGCTTGAGATAGGGGTTTCTTTAGTATGGCTTCCAACGGCTTGTGATCACTTTCTACAGTTAGTGCCTGCGATCCACAGGTGTAGTTGTTGAAGCGTTCTAAAGCAAAGGTAACTGCAAGAAGTTCCTTCTCTATTTGTGCATATCTTGACTCTGTGTCAGTCATTGCTCTAGAGGCAAATGCTATGGGCTTATTCCTCTGTAGAATTACAGCACCTAATCCGTATTTTGATGCATCTGCACTTACGGTGGTTGGTAATCTTGGGTCATAAAATGCTAGTACTGGCTCTTTTGACAATATGCCTAGTATTTGCTTGAAAGCGTCATCCTGACTTTTGTTCCACTGAAATGCGACATCCTTTCTGAGCAACTCTCGAATCGGCTGTGTGATGGTTGACATGTTTGGTATGAACTTGGCTAAGTAATTGACAGTTCCAAGTAGTCTCTCTACTCCTTTTTTGTCAACTGGTCGGGGCATCTCAGTAATTGCACTCAGTTTTTCTGGATCTGGTTTTACACCAGCGGCAGACAGTCTGTGACCTATATATGTGACCTCATTTTCGCTGAACCTGCATTTGTCCTTGTTCAAGGTGAGATTTATCTGTTCGCACCTCCGCAACACACGATCGAGACGAGCATCGTGCTCCGCGTTATCCTTTCCGATGTATGTCGTCTATGTCCACTTCGACACCTTCAATGTCATCGAAATGTTGTGCTATACGCTTCTGAAAAACTTCTTGCGCACTCTTTATGCCAAACGGCATGCGTAGGTAACAGTACCTGCCGAAAGGTGTATTAAAGGTTGTCAAGAGTTGGCTAGGCTCATCTAGAGGGATTTGCCAATAACCACTGTTGGCATCGAGCTTAGTAAAGATTTTAGCACCTGACATTCGCGTTGTGATATCTTCAATTGTTGGTAACTCAAAATGTTCACGCTTTATGGCCTTGTTCAAATTCCTCGGGTCGAGGCACACTCTTAACTTGCCTGACTTGGGCTTTTCCACTAGCACTATGGAGCTGACCCAGTCAGTGGGTTCATCAACCTTTCTCACGACACCATTTTTCTCCATTTCGTTGAGTGTGATTTTTAATTTGTCGCGTAGATTTGCAGGGATTTTACGTGGTGGGTTTACAACCGGTGTTACACTTTTGTCAACTTTGATGGTGTATGGCTCCTTAAGGCAACCTAATCCTTTAAATATTTCCAGAAACTTGCTAGTAGGGTCCTGTTTATCCACTGACGGCTCAGTAACCTTTTCAGTCATCATGACCACTTTTACTAGCCCAAGGTCTTGACATGATTTGAATCCAAGTAATGGGACTGTGTCTTCCCTTGCGACGTAGAATTCAACGTTTTCATTTAGGCATTGGAACCTACACTTCCCCTTTATGGGTATTTTGTTGCCAGTGTAGCTCGATAGTCGCGTTGCCGTGCCCGATAATTTGATTTTTGGTTCTACATTTAGACAGTTAAACAACTTGTCCGATATAATGTTGGCCTGGGAGCCCGTGTCTAATTTGAACCTGACATTTGTTCCATTGATGTTGAGATTTGCGAAAGCTTCATTAGTTCCAACCTCTGTTTTGTGATTATGTACTGCACCAATGAACAAGTCTTCGAATCCTTCCATGTCCACTGCCTCATTCGCGTGTACCACTTTAGTTTTACACTGTCGAGCGAAATGATTCATTCCCTTACATTTATCACATATTTGACCAAATGCTGGACATTTCCGATATCCGTGTTTAGTGCCACAACGTCCACACTGAAATAGTTTTTGTTTTACATGTTGTTTGCTGTGGTTGGAGTTGTCTCCCCTGACTGACTGTTTCTTGTTACCTCCCCTTGCACTCTGTGTTGGTCTATTTGTATAACGTTCGTTGGGGGGTCTGTTTTGTTTATCACGATGATTTTTGTGTACCGCGTTGACTTCTTCTGTGTTTAGATTTTTTAACATTTGTTGTGACTCCTCACTGGCTCTGCAAGCAGATACGGCCCTTTCAAGTGTGAGTTGATTGTCTCTCAAAAGTCGTTCTTTTACCTTTTCTGAAAATACACCACAGACAATACGATCGCGTAACATTTCATCTTCCAGTGTACCAAATTTACAGTTTTTTGCAATAATGCGTAGTTCGGTCACGTATTCATCAATAGTTTCTGTTTTACCTTGTGTACGTGTGTAGAATCTGTGTCGCCACACAGTTATGTTTTCCCTCGGGGCACAGTAAGACTTAAATTTGTTTATTAAAACTTCAATTTTGTCTTTTTCTTCCTCTGTGAATGTGAAAGTGTTGTAAATTTCCCTTCCGTCTTGTCCTATTATGTATAGGAATGCACTACATTTTTCCTTTTCAGATTTATCTGACATCGCTATATCTAAATATAGTCGCATGGATTGTTCCCATTTTCTCCATTTTTCTGGGAGATTTCCCTCAGACGCCGAAAAGTCTAATTCTGGGGGTGGGCGGGTATGCTCCATTATGTTGGATTGGGCTGATAATGTCTATTTGCCTGTATTTCGGTATTTTACCGGTCTGGGTAGAGGGTTTTGGTTTCTGGCGGGTAGCACGTGTTTTATACAGCGCACACTAGATGTCATCGATTCGACAGTTATTGACGAGTTAAGCGATATGACATACAATATTCATTCCGCCGATATCTGGTTGGATATGTTGCCTTACCAAATACCCATATTTCCATCAGTATCCCGCTGTCTGACACCATGCTTTGCTTAGACGTTTCAGCGATAGACTAAACAACACGTTTCTTCTCAGCTCCATGTTTGTTTTTTATTTCCAGAACGAGGCTGTCCTATAACCAATACAGGAGAGGATCTAAGAGAGATAACTCTTACGAGATTACAACTACTATAGATCATTACACTATATACTATGTATTTAGGTTTAATTGTTCCTGAATGTTGCTTGTTCTTTACCTTGTAGTTGATGTTCCAAAGATATTTTGGATCGTGTACGCATCTGAATGTGTAAGTGCATATTTTTGAAGTTGATTGGAGATCTATTATGACCGCCACGACGTCAAATGTCAAAAGCTTCTTGAAAATCATTGATTGTGTTGTAGTTCGAGCAATTAATATTATTCGTAGATAATTTCCAACTGTACCCCATTAAATCCTTATTCAGGTTGTATCAGACAACGCAAAGCGTAATATTATCCCCCCGTTCCGATGTTCTGTTTGTTATTTTTAGCAGTTCCATACAAAGTATTGAAATAGAGAACTAGAGTACTAGCTGGATACCAAGTTTTAAGTAATTACTTTGAACGGTTACTTGACAAAACTGAACTTTGTGTGTCTATTTCCATGGTAACTGAAAAAGCATTTAAATGAAGAACTTTTCCGTAAAATGTACCACTACTGTACTAGCTTTTTAGTGTCCAAAGCTTCGAGTTATTATATTGAACGGTTTCAGGGCATTGGCACAAAAAAAAAATTAAATTTTTAATCTGTTTCCATGGTAACAGAAAAATGGAGAAAATTCTCCCCAGCAACAGTAATTACATACTATAACCATCCATACTGTACTGATAATGAATGACTATTAAACTGTACTGATAATGACTATTAAACTGTACTGATAATGAATATTAAACTGTACTGATAATGACAATTAAACTGTACCGATAATGAATGAATATTAACTGTAATTTTGGGCTGCCAAGGATGAAACACTTTTCATTATAAGGTAGAGAATTTTAGGTACCGTACAAGTTATTTCTTTTGGTGAAAAAATTGGAGCAAGGGTCAGCATGCCAATATTATACACAGTTAATAGGAATACGTGCACCTGATATCGGAGGTTTATTAAAATGTATACGAAATGAAAGCGAGATGTTCTCAATAATGTAATTTTATCAATTCTATTATATATGTAAGTACATGTAAGGAAAATAGTAATGTTGAAATCAGGAATAACACGTGCCATTTCCTTGCTCCGTTAAGACCAATTTCAATTTAACCCAAAGGCACTATGAAGCGAAAACCATGACGATAGCGATCGAAGAAGCGAAATTATCATCACGATCTTGCTTCTCAGCAAGAAGTGACGGACATGTAGATGTTAACCTTTCCTGTTAACGCTATCGTTATATTTTCCCCTTTTGTCCATAGTTACCTTTCTTCAAATAGCTCGTAATTTTTTGTGACTACATTTATAACCCTAAACAAATTGAAATAAGAGGAAAGGGTCAAGAACGCTACCTTGGGGAAGGCCTTTCGTAACACCGAGAACATAGTACTGGTATCTGGGGTTTTGCTGTTGACAACCTACTGCTACTGGCCTCACTTTTCACGCTAAAGATGCTTCGATACATAACAGTAGATGGCGATGCTTTTAAAGCGCCTAGTATGTGTTGCAGAGAGTTTGTATTTTCAAATGTATTCTGCGTAAATACTTAGTCCATATCCAATGAACATGGGACGAATTCCCAAACCCGGATCTATATACCGAAAGTATATGTATTATTGTTACAAGGTTGTTACTCCCGAGAAAGATACAATTGTTTTGTTTTGTTTTGGTCTGAACATCCTCGATACTCCAGGTATAACAATCATTTTTGCCCTCTGCACCCTTGGAACATATCATGGTGAAATTGAAGGTTCCGTTTGCAACACCTTATGGGTAAGACGAGAAGACTGATTTGCTTCTTTGATGTACGTCAAATGAAGGTTGCATAATGATATGTTGCACTGGTTTGAAGTTGGGTGTCACTCCTTCGTAATCTTTGTTCAGTGTTTTGGAATAGTGACGGTTAAAATAGAAATGTAATCACTACAAAGACTACAAGAAAACACACAAATGGTTCCGTGCTTTGTTGGCAAATATACACGAAATTAGGGAGACCACATTGGTTATGCTTCAGGAATACATTGTATAGACCTTTTTACACAAAGGAGTTCGTACACAAGCCGAGTCGCAGCATATCCAGGATGGTTTTGTAAGTAATAACCTTGTTGCAGGACCCACATAGGTTTGTTAAAGTTCGGGGATCAGAATTGCTTCCGAATAAAATGCTACTCAGATTAACTTATCAACCTATTATACTTTGTAAATGCTTCTTTTAAACTTTTCTCAAATGGTTAAAAGTGTCTGATGAATTTTTATGTCATTTTTCTAAGAAGCTAGAAACTGAAAACTTTTTGCGATTCCATTTTTAACCACTCTCGTTGTGAAAGAAGTAAAGGAGGTGGGTTTATTGCATTTAACATTATGAACAATGTTGATTCCGTGTATTATTGGTATGAGAATATTGATGAATAATTGGTAGTTTTAATTGTTGGTATGATCTTCTCACTCTGGACGACTGAAGGGGTTGGATTAGACTTTAACACGAGCTCTTATCCCATACAACAGAAAGCCTCTGCATCAACTCAGATTCCCTACGTTATACTCACATGTGAGGTTGGTTAATTATTGACGGATCAGAAAAAATCTTTGAGAGAATCAATTCTTGAACTTAAGGAATTTGCTAAAATTTCTGGTTTAAAGATAAATGTTGATAAAACTCAAGTGGTATGGATTGGGAGCAAAAAATATAGCACAGATAGTTTACCAGAACTCAACTTACAGTGAGGTAGAGAAAGATTTGTTTTGTTAGGAATAGAATTTAGTGTGAACCTGCATGAAATCCCAAAGTTAAATTTTGATAAAAAGCTCATTAAACTAAAATCCTTAATAAAAATATGGAATAGGAGATAATTTACACCTATTGGAAGAATTAGTATTATTAAATTACTTCTTATATCTCAATTTAATCATCTTTTTATCTCTTTACCTAACCCTGAAGGTAAATTT